TAAAGACAGATCACAAAATATTCATATTTAGTCTCATATCCAATAGTTGCGTGCATAACTAGTTATTGGGGTTCTCATAAAGCATTCTCTAACGTCATAAGTCGATTCTGGAATGCTGTCAAGGTGCGTGAAGAAGTGATATCTTCCATTATAGTGAACATAATGAAGGAGTATCGCGTGCGCAACTTGGAAAATTAGCATGATTATTTATAAACAAGAAATACGAACGCCTGATTTACCACTAAAATATAGATTTTAAATTTTCATGACAGATGGAGCTCTATAGTTTCAGTGTAGCTACATATTTCTCACATTTAACACAGATTAGATGACAATTTCGGAATGAAATTCCTCGTATGCCTCAGTTAGGGACTGTCATATTGATTATAAGTAAAATATTTATATGGAAATTAACGTACATTGAAACTATAATGCAAATGATACACATTTGCTTTTAATATCTGTTAATAATACAGTACTGATGGAAAAACTGATAAAGTCTTTGACTCATCTGAAGAAGCAGACAGTATGATTTTAATCGAGATTTGAAACATTATAGTAAGAATTTAAGTTCTATTTACGCTTGAGTGTTCTGAGTTAACAGTGGTTTTAACTTCAAGTTTATTTTAACAGTTTTTTTTAGTAATACAATTAATGCACAGTTTCATTACTCTCAATAAAATCAGTTCGTAAATTGATTGGTACAATTTTTAATGAGTATTTATTTATCTAATTACTTAGTTTGCGTAAGAGTTTTTACCATTTTGAATAAGATTTAAGAAACAAGATTCACTTAATTAAAATAGTTCGAATTTGTATAAGGTGAGTGATTAATTTGAGCTGTTAGATATTATCTTAAGAGTGCTAGCTCAATGTTAATCTTTCCGAAGTTTCGAATCGCGGGTGTTAAAATATTCAGACACTATAAAATTTTATGCTTACCTAAACAAGAAGAAAAGTAAGAACTTTGACTTTGTAATGGAAAAGCATGGCTGGTGGTGATGTAAATGATTGAAAGACGTTATGCTAGGAACAAGTGTTCGTTAGGTAGGGAATCCGTGGAGGTATGAATATTGTATTATCATAATGAAATCTAAGGAAAAACAATTACGAGGCTATGAATCGAATCGTGAAGGTATGAGTATTGTATTCTCATAATGAAATCTAAGGAAAAACAATTACGAGGCTATGAATCGAATCGTGAAGGTATGAGTATTGTATTCTCATAATGAAATCTAAGAAAAAAATACGAGGCTATGAATCGAATCGTGGAGGTATGAGTATGGGATTATCATAATGAAATCTAAGAAAAAATTACAAGGCTATGAATCGAATCGTGGAGTTATGAGTATTGTATTCTCATAATGAAATCTAAGAAAAAATTACGAGGCTATGAATCGAATCGTGGAGGTATGAGTATTGTATTCTCATAATGAAATCTAAGAAAAAATTACGAGGCTATGAATCGAATCGTGGAGTTATGAGTATTGGATTATCATAATGAAATCTAAGAGAAAATTACGAGGCTATGAAAGGCTCCTATTTCATTAGTCGTTTAAAATTTTGGGCTTTGTGGATGAAAATATATATTAAACAGTGTTTCTTTGATTAGTTATACAGTTAATCTAACACGAAGCCCAAAATCCGTTGCCAAAAACATATCACCATCAGATCAAGAAGGCTTTGACAATTCAAGAATTAGTTGGTAGATTTATTAGTACAATTTATATATATTTATTTGTCTAATTACTTGGTTTGCCTTAGAGTTTTTACCATTTTGAATTAAATTTATGTGAGAAGATTCACTTAATTAAAACAGTCAGAGTTTTCATGTGGTGAGTGAGTAATTTGAGTTTTTATA